ACAAATGATGTCCAAAAAAAAACCAATTCCAATGTTAAAAAATAATAATTTTTTGCTATAAAATTGTCATTCATATTTTTTTTAATTGTATAGAAATATCTATATAAAAATAAAGCATTTATATATTTTCCAATGCTTGGAAAGTTTTTTTTTTTTGTTTAAAAGTATATATTTTTCATATCAAATAAATGATATATCTAATTTTTTAAAACTCGATAAAAAAACGAAAACAAAAAATTGTTTATTCTCCAAGATATATTAGTTGTTTTTCAAAAAAATATTTAAAGCAGAAAAACTTGTTCTACAATCTACAGTTTTAAAATAACACAATTTATTTAACATTGTATTTACTTAAATGTTTAAAGACCTGCATACTATGTAACTCTTAATAAAATTATTTTTTGTTTCTAATTGTGAAAACATAGGTACGCTTCCCCAAAATTTTATTTGCCATAAGGCTAAGGTTAACATTTTTGTGGATGTAAATTCTGAAAAAATTTTGGAAGCAAGCTTTTTATATTATTTAGTTCATAAAATAGGAAATTAATGTACATGCGCATATGTGGGTAAATAGTAATGTATGCTTGACCTCATATTCCAGATTTTATTTCATTTTTTTAACTCATTCAGCAGCAGAATTATAGGCTTATTTTGGCCTATGGACGAACGTAACTACTTTAATAATATTTTGCAATATTTAATTTATTTTAAGCCAAATAAAATTATCGAATTATTATATATTTATGCAGCATCCCCATTATAATCTTAATAAATGTGTGCCTTTTACTTCAAGTAACTGTTTACATACTCCGTTGAGAATTTAGAGAAAAAATGTTCGGAAATTATGATGTACATATACATACGTACATACATATTTGGCCCATGGGACTACTTATTAGAAGAGCATTGTACGGCATTGAAGATACGCAATCATTGACTTGCATTGAAGTGCTCCTCATATTTATTTTTGTTCAAATACAAAACAAAGGAATATGTGTACTTATCTAGATATGTATTTACATATTTTGCTTCTTTTTATATGAAAATAGATACGCCTGGACGTAATTTATGGCTCACAATATTCTTTCATTTAATGTTATAAGATAAAGTAGTTTTACATATTGCTACATGTTAATACAAATTTTTTTCCATCAATATGTATGTAGTAAGAGTATGTAAAATGTGTATACGTACATTAGTATAAGTAGTATATGCACCAAATCTAAGTCAAGAAGGGAATATGTTTGAGTGTATCCAATGAAATATGTGTGGAGGCAAGATTTACATATAAAAACACATACATCTGTACATATGCATGTGAACCTAATTTCCTAGTGCTGGCGCACACAGCATTCTTACTATCATACTCATGGGTAATGGCACTAAAAGAAATTAGTACAACTTATNGACGTAATTTATGGCTCACAATATTCTTTCATTTAATGTTATAAGATAAAGTAGTTTTACATATTGCTACATGTTAATACAAATTTTTTTCCATCAATATGTAGTAAGAGTATGTAAAATATGTATACGCAAATTAGTATAAGTAGTATATGCACCAAAACTAAGTCAAGAAGGGAATATGTTTGAGTGTATCCAATGAAATATGTGTGGAGGCAAGATTTACATATAAAAACACATACATCTGTACATATGCATGTGAACCTAATTTTCTAGTGCTGGCGCACACAGCATTCTTACTATCATACTCATGGGTAATGGCACTAAAAGAAATTAGTACAACTTACTTGACGAGCGTGTGAGAGAGCTTATGAACGTGTTGACCGACTAAATTTGAGTTTTTATGAGTGAAAGTTTGTCTTGCGAGATGAGTTAGGTGATGCAAGTAGATACGCACAAAAGGAATACTCAAATGTTGATACATATAAGTTTGTGTGGCAGGGAATTTGTACATATTTATTCCAAGGTAGAACGGTGCGTGTGCGTATCTACAAACTGAACTTTTTTAATTTTTTGCTATCTTATATGACCACAAAGAGCCATTCAATCTATTACGAATAAGCATAACGTACACAAAAATGGTAATTTTTTGATTAAAGTCTCTCTTCCTTAAGGCGAAATGTACATGTTTGAGGCGTTCCATAGCAAAACCCAATAATGGTATTTGCATAGCTACTGAGATACAGAGGAAAATTTAACCANTTGTGTGGCAGGGAATTTGTACATATTTATTCCAAGGTAGAACGGTGCGTATGCGTAACATTTTGTATGGTAATCACATATGGGTAGCAATGCTGCACATATGTATGTATCTACAAACTGAACTTTTTTAATTTTTTGCTAGCTTATATGACCACAAAGAGCCATTCAATTTATTGTGGAGGAGTATAATGTACACAAAAATGGTAATTTTTTGATTAAAGTCTCTCTTCCTTAAGGCGAAACGTGCATGAATTGAGTATGTTTGAGGCGTTCCATAGCAAAACCCAATAATGGCATTTGCATAGCTACTGAGATACAGAGGAAAATTTAACCTATGCCTTATTCTAAAATAATATGTAATATTTGCTTTGATAATGTGACTAAATTCCAAATTCCATTGATTAAATCAGGCGCGATTATTGGAACGCACGTCACTGTTGGCAGTTATAACTTTGAAGTAGCGAAGAACTTTGTCAATCTATGGTGCAGTAGAACCACCAATAAAACAGGCCTGCGAAGTACAGTTTCTAAAAAAGTAGGGATGATTTTTAATTTCTTTTTCTGTAATTTTTGGAAAGTTAAGATTAAATCAAAAAATGTAAAAAATGGAAATTTTAGAAATTTTTATAATTACATTAACAAAAATTAAATTTTTAAATTTTTATAATTACATAATTTTTGGTTTGGATTTTTTTTTTGATTTTTTAAATCCACTTTTTTTAATCATTCTACAATATATATATCTATAAATAACAATTAGCAATTAATTTCGACGGAAGTCATAAATTCAAAATTTTATATATTNGATTAAATCAAAAAATGTAAAAAATGGAAATTTTAGAAATTTTTATAATTTTTTTATTTTTGGTTTGGATTTTTTTTTGATTTTTTAAATCCACTTTTTTTAATCATTCTACAATAAAAAAAATATATATATAAATAACAATTAGCAATTAATTTCGACGGAAGTCATAAATTCAAAATTTTATATATCTTTTTATCACTACTCGATACCTTTATGGAAAAAGAAAAAAGTATCATACCTTCATCTGAATCTGTTACTTTCCATTTTTTATATCTTTTAGTCCCACTGCTTTTTATTTAGAGAAATTTGGCGTCGAAAAATTTGTCGCAGCGATTGCCAGAGATTGCACTGCTGGCATCTAAGGTTAAAAAAAGTACTCTGATTTTTTTAACATTAAAGTATGAAATGTGAAATAAAAAAATAAAATTTTAAATTAAAAAAAACAGCTTCCAGAGGCATCAATCCATCTTTGTAAGGCGCAGTAATCAAAAAAAATAAAAGGCAACCGATACTTTCTGCTCAAAAAAATAAAAGGCTAATTTTAACTTTTACGTTTACCTTAAAAAAATAAAAATCAGAATTAATCGATATAAGATATTTACTCAAGATGATAAAAGTCAGATTTTTAAAAGTCATAGAGGAATCATAATCTACAATGAGATATGAGTCTAATGGTACCTTTGAAAAGCTTAACCTCAAAAAGTTGCAACCAAAACATACGGCCAGTATATTCTTTACCCGCCCCTCATGCCTGCCCACTGATAACACTTTGCAACAAACAGTGTACAAATATGTATATATATAATTGTGTCTACCTTGCCTATTGGAAGAGGGTAATTTGAAATATATTTAGTCCGGCGTTTTTCCAATTTTTTAATACTTTGCAAATAATAGGCTTTTCGTGGTCCTCAAAATAAGCCTTTTTTCAGTGATGACCTCTTCATTTGACTTAAATTTCCCATCGCTCATTCTTTGGGTTTGGAAGTAAAAAGTATTCGCAGGGGTCTAAATCTGCTGAATATGGTGGAGGGAGCAGGAGCTCGAAGCTCGATTGATGGATTTTTTCATGTGTACCGTGTCTTGTCTTGCCTTGTCTTGATGGAACAGCAACTTCTTCTTAACCAAATGTGGTGGTTCTTTGATTCCATCCAATACTAAAACTGTCCAAAACCTCCAAATAATATTCACCTGTGATCAATTGCCGTTGTTAAAGTAATCGATGTGAATGGCACCGCGTGCATGCCAAAAAACTATGATCATGACCTGGCTGGCCTACAGGCCCGACACGGAGCAAAACTCTTTCGGCTTGTTGCTGAACATCGCCAAACTTTCCTTTGAAGTTATCACACGGTTGCGTTTATGGTCGAGTTTGAGCAAGCGTGGCAGCCATCGCGCAGATAGATGCCAATATATCCAGCCAGCTCACACACTTGCATTCTCCGATCGTCCGATATCATTTCTCTGCGATATGGACGTTCGGGGTCACTTGTGCTGGTAAAACTACAACGGAACCTACTAAATCACTTCTTAAACATTAAATTTGATGGTGCGGAATCCCCATAGTATTTAGGAGGCCTTTCCTTGGTTTTGGTAGTGGATATTTTATCCAACAAAATTATGCTTAATCAGAACACCAAATCAGCTCTTTCTGTTTGCAATGGCTATCAAATACAAACTAAAAGACGCTGTTTGTTCAAAATTTTTGCAGTAATCCATAAATCGATGGCAGTTGACGGCAACTATACACTGACATCTATGTACGAACATTTCTGAATAAAAAAGGAAATTTTCATCCTTTTGCAATTCAACGGCTTGGCATTTTGGTCATTTATATGCAGGACAGTAATGTTATTGTCACGCATGCGTAAATATGCTTGCCCGTTAATGCATTTTACATAATTACTCACGCAACTAAAAAGTTTTCGCATGGTCCAACGTGGCATAACGCACTGAAACCCCGCAATGCCAATAACCCAAGGTGTTAATGCAACGCACCGAACAGAGTTAATTGAATTTTTTATTGATTTTATACTTTTTATTAATTACCATTAACAACTTACGCATACAAAAGTATTTATGTTCATATTATTAACAGACTGACAATTCCATAAGATATAAAAATGCAAGCCAACATGCCGATGAAATTACATTTATACCATATGTATGTATGTATACATACAAACAAATGCTCAGAGCACTTGCTACCAAGTTTCAGCGCAGCATACCGTAAGCATATTGACTGTCTTTTGGGCCCACCTTTAGCAATATTGCACAACAGTTACGGCCGCAACGACTGCTCAATCCAATCCACGTAATCAGCAACACGCGTATATACCGCCGGCCATCCCTCCAGACCGCAACGATTGCCAAAAGACACAACACCCTCCAGGTACCAACGGTTGTTGGTACTTTGGCGCATCAATGGGCCACCAGAGTCGCCATCGCAGCTATCCTTGGAAAACTCACCGCCAGCGCAGAGCTGCGATGTAATCAGATTGACATTTCTTGATGAAAATTTACGTGCGCATGCATCATGATCCACAACTGGCACTGCCAATTCTTGCTTCACATTGCTCTGACGTGCTGTATGTAACAGCCAAGCGGGCAATCAGCATACATTTAAGGTCCAGCGAAGGGAATGCAATGCATACAAGCGAATGCCAGATGACCAGAAGAAAAAGAAGAGAAGAGCGCAAATAAACATTATAAAAGATGGTACATTGAACAATGACAATACGCATAAATGCAATAAAAATAAAAGTAAAAGTAAAATACTACATAAAATGGGCTGAATCAATATTGGTGTAGCGCGGGCGGCACGTCGATCTCCCTTGGTAACGTACCATAACGCACGCGTACGCCTCTATTCAATTCAATTCTTCTGTCCACCTACCTACATACATACATACATACATACATACTTGCCGTATCAACCCACTTACTTACTTATGTACATATGTATTTACTTACGTACTTACACGATGGCTTACATATTCACATGATTTACAGCGAAACTTACCGAGTAATGTGCGCCCCCAGCCGGCTACTGTAAGCAATTCGCCCACATTGATGGCCTGACGTGTGCTGGCCAACGGCAAGCAAACTGGCCTAATGAAATCCGAATATGTCACGTCCTCTGCCAGTCGTATGAGCGCAATATCATGATGACGGTTATTGTTGTTGGGCTGGTATTGTGGATGTGGGATCACCTGTTCGTAGCCCAATTTTACGACTTTGTTGTTGCAATCTTGTTGTATACAATCGATTTCTTTGCCGATATCATACTCGCCCAGATGTATGGTAGAGCTGCAAATGGTGCGGATTGTGAATACCGAATTTTCCGGTTTGACATCGGTAACAGATGACGACGGTAGGTAGAGGTTGGTGGTTTGTGGGTTTTGCGGATTCACAGGTTCGCAGAAAGAATGGTGGTAAAATTTAAATTGATCGCAAATTTGTTCAATCGTATATTAAAAGGAAAGAGAAAAAACAAAAAAAAAACAAAAAACGATATAATAAATGAAGTAAAATTTAAATGATGTACGGATATAATGTGGAGCGGAAAAGCAAGGAAAATGATGTGTAAACGTAGTGTAAATGGCCCAGATAAAATGAGGGCAGATAAACAATGTGAAATGCTGGTATGACAAGACAATGATGCCCAATGCGCATTTTTTAAATGAATGGGTAAACGAGAAATTGATGAAAAAGTGTTTTTTTTTTGCAACATTTACCGTTTGTCATGAAGGTTTATTAAAAAAAAGTATAACGCTTGTTTGTAAATTCAGGATATTTACAACAATCAGCAAAAAAAAACTATACTGAAGAATTTTAAATTTCAGTTTCCGAGCCCGCTAAAGTATAATCTATACATTGCATTAAAGAAATTAAGGAAAAATTTATATGCGGGTTATTGCACGAAATTTAATGTAGTTTTCACCGATGTATTGCTAGAGGTCAAACTTAAAATAAAAAAAAATAGAGAGTTGCCACCTGTTCGAAAATTGCAATTTAAGTAAATTGATAAGATGAAGTAAATTTTGCAATATGGCTGTCAAAAGAAATAGGTTAAAGAAGGCGTGCGGCCCAAAAAAAATATTTATGGAGGTTGCCACATGTTTAAAATTTTTAATGTAATTTAATGGATAAGCTAAATTAAATATTGCATTATAAGCATCAAACTGAAAAGGTTTAGAAAATCTTAATTCCGAAAATATATTTTAAAAGGGTTGCCACCAGTTTGAAAAATTTTATTTAATAAATTGATAAAATAAATGAAATATTAAAATGCGGGTATCAAGCAAAACAAAAATACTTTTAAACTTATCAAAAATCAACGCAATTTCTTAACCACTTGAAACCGCACTTTATTATATAAAAATTTTATATGTTTATTCAACTGTTTACCAAGATTTTTTTTTAATTGCTACTTTCTCTGAAATTTGCCTTAAAAAGATTAATGTAACCAAGTAAGAAGCCAGAACAATCTAAAATCGGTTAAGAATTAGAGCCTCTACGCTATTTTGAATCCCACTGTCCTATTTCAGACCACTGTGCGTCAGTATTCCTTGTGATATCTATTCTTCAGATCTTTTCATTTTCGTGAATGTATGTACATTCATATAATAGGTTGGCATTTTTAGTTTGACGAAANGTTAAGAATTAGAGCCTCTACGCTATTTTGAATCCCACTGTCCTATTTCAGACCACTGTGCGTCAGTATTCCTTGTGATATGTATTCTTCATTCGCATTACAATTACCTACTTTAACTTTTTTCCAGGTTTATTATTATTTATCATGTATGTATATGTAAATGAGAGTATACTATATACATATATGCATATGTACATGGTTTTGTTGGTAGTGTCATAACTTTCCACATGACTAAAATTTATCATATAATTAAGCCTAATATAATTCACTAAGTACTATATATACCGCTATTCTTTCATTAACTAAACACTGTCATATTGTACTGAAAAGANATTTATCATGTATGTATATGTAAATGAGAGTATACTATATACATATATGCGTACATGGTTTTGTTGGTAGTGTCATAACTTTCCACATGACTAAAATTTATCATAAGTTTCACTTTTGTAACAAAAAGTATCAAATGCGCGTGCTATTTCAGATAAATTGTTATTAAACAAATTATCAAATACATTTTTGATAAATTGAGTTTTCGGAAATCTATTAAAATTGAAGCAAATTTCTCAACATAACAACCATAATCAACACAAATTAAATTCCTCTTTTAATTACATTCATTAAACTAAAATACCATAAAAACCATATGAATGCGCCTTATTGCTAAGCATTCATTAGATTCTACCACTGTGGCCACCCAAAATTCCATTTAACTAGTTTTAAACCGTTTAGCAAATCAGAAATATTTATGTATTTATAATTTGCTGCAAAATGTATTTATGTTTAAGCTGTTAAAATATGATTTCAGCAAAAGTAGTTTAATGACACTACATTTTAGTCAACTATGTACATATGTACAAATATGTAGGTAACTATAAACATTCTGGGTATGGCTTTGGGCGGAAAGTTCATATACTCGAACATTTATGCATATGTATATACAAATGTACTTGAGTGTATTAAAGTATGCATATGTTGCATATATTTATTTTGGCTTTTAAATGGCAAAAGTTTCAAGGTTGAGGAATTATTTCAACCGCGTACGAATTGCTTCGCGTACGAATTGCTTGTGTTCGATAAAGCAATAAAGTCTGGAGATAAGAAAAAAGTTAAACAATGACAATGTAGGAAGTAAATATCGGTAAAATAAAATTTGGAGTTCCACATTATTGCTAATTGGTTGGCGGAGCGAAAGTGCACTTGCCTTGATTTCCGCCCAAATGAAGTGGCGTACAGTCTTGGAAGTAGGCACGTTTTTATCAGAATAGTGGTAAATATACTTTCCAAGTTATGGCATTAAGAAAGAGACCGCGCTATTAGGAAAAGTGCAAGTTTCCGGATTTTAACTTGTATTTTTGACGTAGAATACGTCTTACGTTTCGATGTGGAGGCTATGCTGAAATGTTGTAGTTGTAATTTTTAGAGCTTCACGAAAACGCTTATTTCACGAGAACTAGTGAAGCGATTTCAAAGAAAGGTATGCGGTTTCAAGGAAAAATTCTAAACCTATCGACGGGTATATTTACGTAAGTAATCGATTTGGTGTCTGTCGTAGAAACAACGGTAAATACTGGCTTATTTTGGGGTTAATTTTGAGCCTTTAAATGGCTCCAGCAGCTTATGATTTGCAGATATAGCTTTCATTTTCGGGATATAGATTCTCTGGCGCAGTAGAAACATTATCGTGTACAAATTTTATATAAATTTAACCAATATTGAGCATTTTAAGGTAAAAAAGTGTTGAAAAAATTTGCAAATTTTCTTTTTACAAAAACGCTCGAAAACCGCTCGATTTTGTTTGTTGNGGTTTACTTTCATTTGGTATATGGGAAGTATGGGTTGATATCTTCTAAGTATGTTTATTTTATTAGAATTCGATTTTCGGAATTCTCGGGACTTATCGATATATAATCGATATTTTATCCGTTTTGTTATCGATATTTTTATCGATTTCGCTATCGAAATTTTTTATCGATTTTTCTATCGAAATTTTTATCGATATTGTTATTGATTTTGCTATCGATATTTTCGGAAATTATCGATATAGTAAACGATATGTTTTATCGATTTTGTGATCGATATTTTAATCATTTTGTAATCGTTGTTTTTAATAGATTTTGTTATCGATATTTTTATCGATTTTGTTATCGATTTTTTTTCTTAGTGTGTGCTTTAATTTTTGACTTGGATGTGCTCTTAACCATACCACGTATTCTATGTTTAAACTTAGCGGCTGTGTCTCCGATACAGCTTGCAGACCAAGACGAAGGCGCTGGACTGTTCCTTTTTAGATTTGGTGTCGGATAACAGATTTGTAAATGAAAACTGCTTGTCAAACACAGCCTATGCTGGCGCTAATGCCTAAGCTCCAGTTGGTAAGCAACTTAAAGCTATAAGCGAACTTCTACGAACAATTCTGTAGAGGTTTGGACGAAGTGTAGCGGATTAAACGAAAATCCTGCTTAGACGGTCATAATTCTCTGCACGAATTAGAACAAAATTTTTCAATTCCTGATGAATCCAAAATTAGATAAAACTTGGAAATATACAAAGAGCGGCATACGTTTTCTTCGTGGAAGCGCTAACCCAACTAAGGCTCTCCATGGTATGCCTAATTTCACCTTCGCAGACCCTCATGGCAAGTTGCAATAACGTTAGACAAGTCGCCCTGGCAAATTTGGTGTGCAAAAGATTTGGTTACTTAAAAATACTACACCTTTTCCAACAGTATTTCAGAAAACCTCAAATGTATTTCAGAAAAGCGCAAATGTATTTCAGAAAAACACAAACGTATTTCAGAAAAACGCAATTGTATTTCAGAAAAGGCCAAATGTATTTCAGGAAACCTCAAATGTATTTCAGAAAAACGCAAATGTATTTCAGAAAAGGTCAAATGTATTTCAGAAAAACTCAAATGTATTTCAGAAAATTTCAAATGTATTTCAGAAAAACTCAAATGTATTTCAGAAAAACCCAAGTGTATTTCAGAAAAGGTCAAATGTATTTCAGAAAAACCCAAATGTATTTCAGAAAAAGGCAAATGTATTTCAGAAAAGGCCAAATGAAATTCAGAAAAACACAAATGTATTTCCGAAAAGCACAAATGTAATTCAGAAAAACACAAATGTATTTCAGAAGAATATTTTTAGAATATTTCCAAACTAGGTAAACTTTTGCAATGGCAAACCTCCGAGTGTATTTCTGCCCTGAAAAAGCTTGTCCTAAAATGCATTCGCCGTTCGGAGGCGGGGTAAAACTATACGTCCCTCCACTTTGTGTGACAACATCAAGGCGCACGCCACCAACTGGAGGAGAAGCTCGGCCAAATACTTAGCAAACTGTAAGCGCCATAATATTATATTATTATAAATCCATTTACAAATTAAACCTCTACCCTTCCATCTATTCTTGCTACGACCAATTGAATAAACCAGTGATAAACTTGAATAATGCAACACTTGTAACGGCGAGATTTTATTTACACATATGTATAAGTATTTATGTAGATGTACATACATACATATGTTTATTACATGCCAACAGGCATGTCGCGCAATGCCAAAGCATCTGCAAAAAAAATAGATGAGTGCTGAATAGCTCGAGCACAATCAGCAGTAGATATGGTTTCTTTCGCTTGCAGTATTATTTGTTC